CACACACACACACACACACACACACACACACACACACACACACACACACACACATACATATTAGGGAAAATGATCACGTTTAAGACACACGCACAACGCCCGTCTAAGAGGTGGTCGCGCTATGTAGCTTACCGTTCTTCAAATGCATTAGGAGTGTGACCACCTCTTCGACAACTCTCTCTCTCTCTCTCTCTCTCTCTCTCTCTCTCTCTCTCTCTCTCTCTCTCTCTCTCTCTCTCTCTCTCTCTCTCTCTCTTTCTCTCTTGTGCGAGGTTAGACGCCCCCGTCCTTCGAAAAGGTGGTCATGCTCATTTTGACAAACACGGCTCAAGGACCTCGAGAGCACGACTGTCTATCTCCTTCTGAAATCTAGTTAGTTTTGCAAACCTTATGAGTGACTTGGGCAACACCGATCAGTCTACACGGACTCGACAAGCAACATTGGATGGAAGTACTTCGTCAAGCACAGAGCGAGCTATGCAAACTTATAAGGAATTGAGAAATCGAAACTTAATGTCGACTTTCGCTAAGTTTCTCGCATCTCGCGTTGATGCGATTGCCGACAACCTGTCGAATAGGTGATATCAATGATTAACATAATATGGTTAAACAAGTTAAGAGCGCGACCACCTCTTCGACAAGTTAGTAGTATTCTATATTTTTATCATACACACATGCGGGGACAAATAATTGGATGATATTTTGCAGTTTATACGAGTATATCGTTATATCATATTCATAAACAAAATCCTAAAATGTATTAGTTGATTCATGCATATTATCAACGTTTCAGCAACATTGAACTTTGTTTTTCCAATATTATCGATACGTAAAAAACGATGTTCGCACAGTCATAGCAACGTTGAATAAATGATAATGCAAGTTAGAAACATTTATTTTTGTGGCAACGTTGCTGTTGAACAGTAACATTGGCAAGACCCGAAAATCAGCACAAGGTTTTTTCTGTTGAGACATAAAAAATTCGTCAAACTTCTGATGAAGGGCGTTACGACACCTCTCTCTCTCTCTCTCTATCTATCTATCTATCTCTATCTCTATCTATCTATCTATCTATCTATCTATCTATCTTTCTATCATTTTATCTATCTATCTCGCTCTCTCCACCTAATCAACCCACCTAACACCACGAAGACTTCCACGGAGTCTACGATTCGACAGGATAACCGTTATGCAGCACACACAGTAGAATTCTCAAGCTGCCTTTTTTTTCGCGTGCCCCCCCTTACGGGGCACTGCTTTCCTCTTCTTCGCCCCTGCTATGTTGCCATCCCTTTCCGCATGTCTGGCCTCCATCCGTTGTTGTCTCTCCTCAACTCTCGCCTTCTCGTCCAACATACCTTGATATTTCTCAACCCAGCGAGGCTTCGACAACCTATCCACCAGTCTCATGTCCTTGACCTGGATCGTCACCCTCTTCGAATGGATGGCCACCTGGTTGGTGTTCTCGAAATTGGCGACCAGGTACGCCTCGGCAACCTCCATCAAAGCACGCACCGCCGTCATCTGAAACCTCACGCCCATACTCGGAGCAATGTCCTCCTCCACAACCTCGCGCATGAGCCGCAAGAACGGCCTGAAAGCCAAGCAAAGGTCAGTGGATCATTGCAACTTTCTGATTTCCGCCAAAGTTGTCATCTGAAACCTCATGCCCATACTCGGACATCGACGGCGTCTGGGGATCTGAGTTCATGCACCTGCGGTGTCTCCGGTCGCTGGCACCGCCTTGGGGTTTACCTTCTTTCTCCCTGCGCGCGTCTGCCCACGTGGCGGTCCCGACGTGCACTTCTTCATCTTCCCCGGACTCTGCGACATCGTGACATCGCTCGCGCCGCCCATGTCACCCTGTGTTGCAGAGCACCCCCCTGCGCGACCAGGACCACATGGGCCCTCCACCTGAGCAGACAAACGGAAAATTTCTGAGCGCTTCTCTGTCCTCTTGCCTGGCTGCGCTGAACCTGCCTAGTCATTCTCCGCCAGATACCGAATGTCTCGCAGGAGTCCATCTGAATAGGTCAGATGGAATGACACACCAAGCGGGTCTCTGAATCTCATGGTGACGTCATGGGGCATACGACCGGGACCCAACCAAGAACGGTCGTGCAACCGTGCCTGCGGCGAATGTGAGCCATGTATCTGTTCTGACCGTCGCCCTGCTCTTGGTCCGTACGACTCCCCTCAACCATGGACCACATCCCCTGGTCAGCCATGGAGTCATAACCCGCGCACACCATCTGACGCTTCTCCTCCCTTATCTTCTCCCAGCAGCGCTGTGCGTGTTCAACCACCAGCACGTGGTCCTTTACATTTACATTGAACATTGAGACACGTGTCAGAACCACGAGGAACTGCCAATGCTCCACAATGCCTGCATGCATCCATCCCAATGGGAGCCAATGCCCTGATTGCAGTCTTGCTGCCATCGTCACCTTGCCATCGGCCACTGCAGGATGCAAACATCCTGGGACCCAATTGACACGATAGCCATACTTTTCAGGGACCATATACTGTTGCAACTGTCCTTCAGGGATGACATGGGCCCCAATGTCCATGGCAGACAGAACGTCACTCCTCATTGTGACATGGTCCCATATGTGCGAGCATAGTCCATCATACGTGGCTTCCTGCCCTCTTGCATGCGTGTATGTATTGCCATCCTCACCAGTGAACACTTTCCCTTCAACCACCTCCAACTCCACAGGGTTCCGAAGCGGCGGGAAAAAGCAGCCAACAGTATGGGTAGGACATGTTATTGGCTTTTTCTCGTCTTATGAGACCTCCCTGTCGCGGTTCCTGAAGGAGAAGTTGCCATTCACATAATGCGTGCTCAGACATTTCCCATGGCATCACGCATCATCATCCTCACACGGTCACATGGAATCGGGATCGCACATGGCACCCAACCCCACCTAGGATGCTTCCTCGCATCGCTCTCGTGACACGCCGTACTCCCTGTTGCGTCGTTCCCACCAATCACCCATGGCTGTCCGCAATCAAAACTGTCGTAAAAAAAATCGTTCACTCTGAACTGGCCCTGCGCCTCCAGAACACGCCACATTTCCAATGCATATCGCCCTTTCTCCTGTGGTGTTGCCCCATCGTTCAACCTTAATACTCTGTCAAACACGATTGACAGAGTTACGTTTTGCCATGTATTCATTTTGGGGGCAGGAAATGGAACCCATGTCCCATCGACTTTGAACGCAAAGCAGGGTGCTCCTCCAACAATACCCAGTTGAACACGACCCGACACCCAATTGATGTCATATGGGTACTCTTCTCCTGTTGATGTCTTCACCACATTTTCATCTTTCATAATACACCCTGTCAGAGATTCCTTGCTTCCCAGACCTCCCTCCTCTCTCTCTTCCCCAACCTTTTCAGTCTCACAAGTGCTTCCTCCTGCATCATTCTCAGTTTCATCACCATCACCCATCATCTCTGCAGTCTGTGCATATATTGTCGCAAGTACCTCTGCACAGTCTGCGGTGTTCCCTCCAGCCGAATTCCCTTCCTTGTTCCCATCTGCAAAACCCTTCAGAATGTCCTCCATCTCCATGACGCATGTCTCTCCACCGTTGACAGTTGATGCAATCGCGGGTTCCATTTGTTGCATGAGACACCACATACATTTATGAGAACACGTAGCTGCGACATGGCCCCCTCACGAGAGAGAGAGAGAGAGAGAGAGAGAGAGAGAGAGAGAGAGAGAGAGAGAGAGAGCAGCGACAGAGGGAGGTTCACTAGTGCGGGCCACAAGGACAACAAACAGCACCGGTGGACACTGATATGGCACGCAGTAGTGAACCACTTGTGTGTCGTGAGGCAAAAAGCAGCAAACATTATGAACATAAATTTACTCTAAGCAGAAAATAATAATACAGGCAGCACTTAAACACATACCATTGTGTGTATGTGTGTGTGTGTGTGTGTGTGTGTGTGTGTGAGAGAGAGAGAGAGAGAGAGACAGAGAGAGAGAGGTTCACTACTCCGGGCCAGAACTCCAACAACATCTCATGCGAGACAGACATTGGCCCGCAGTAGTGAACCTCGAGCTGTTGGATAGGGAAAGATGCAGCGACAGAGAGCGGTTCACTACTGCGGGCCAGAACGACAACAAACAGCACCGGTTGACACTGATATGGCACGCAGTAGTGAACCACAAGTAGTTGGAAACGCAAAGATGCAGCACCAGCGAGAGGTTCACTACTGCGGGCCAGAACTGCAACAAACATCTCATGCGAGATAGACATTGACCCGAAGTAGTGAACCTCGTACTGTTGGACAGGCAAAGATGCAGCGACAGAGCGGTTCACTACTGCGGGCCAGAACAACAACAAACAGCACAGGTTGACACTGATATGGCACGCAGTAGTGAACGACAAGTAGTTGGAAACGCAAAGATGCAGCGACAGCGAGAGGTTCATTACTGCGGGCCAGAACTCCAACAAACATCTCATGCGCGACAGAGAGCGGTTCACTACTGCGGGCCAGAACGACAACAAACAGCACCGGTTGACAATGATATGGCACGCAGTAGTGAACCACAAGTATATCAATACGGGAAAACGCAGCAAACATTATAGACAGAAAAGTGTGGACGAAGAAGTTGTAATACAGGCAACAATAAACAATCATAATAATGTGTGTGTGTGTGTGTGCATGTGTGTGTGTGTGTGTGTGTGTGTGTGAGAGAGAGAGAGAGAGAGAGAGAGAGAGAGAGAGAGAGAGATCACGCGTCCCTGACCACCCGTGCAGCCACGATTTGACATCTTATGTAGAGAGTTTTTAAGCGGTCGTTGATGTGAAGTCCTTTCCTGCAATGCTGACATTCGTTATTCTCTCCATGCTGGTCTGCGTTCGTTACGACCTGTACCATTATCTCTTTGATGTACGATATGAGATGAGACAGACAGTCTGAAACCAGCCTCGCCATTTGTAGCGAATTCGCTTTTGCAACGAACTTTTGAAATGTGTCCGTCGTCATAGGCAGCGCAACAGATTCTGCATCAGCACAAGGTGCTTTGCTAGCGACGACACATGGGAAGTTGTGACAAATGTGGTGACAATTAGTGTGGCAACATCGGTGCACGCCAGCACGGCATGCGGCGCAGGTGTGCAATCCCCGACAGTGGTTCCAATTCCTCTGGAGGTTTGCATTGTTGTGTCGATTTCTTCACCTGTCTTCGTCCTTTCACCTTCTGCACTTCCCATGACAACTCCATTCACACAAGTCACCATCATTTCTCTAGCCAACAACCTACCTCGTGTGTGTTGCAGGACATCCATGACGTCCGAGGAACTGTTCAACAGAGACGTCATACTGCGAGGAAGGTCATCCTTAGCAGTCGCGACACCCTAATCACGGAGACCGTACTCGTCTACGATTTCCTTACAGTGGCGAATAAAGTCTGCTGCGAAGGCCAAGAGGTCGACGACACTGCGTGACGAAGTAGTTAGCGAACCCGTATTATATTATTGGCTATCATATGATGCCCACCCCTCCTTCAGCACACACTTCTCAAGGCGGGCACAAGATGCAACATCAAGTCCTTGTGATTCCCTGTGAGTTCTCTTTGTGACGTGGGCGGCAAACCGATTCAAGACCTCGCTGCGCCTGCGCCTTTCACCATCCGACCATGTCTGGAACTCGTCAAACGTGGTGGTCTTCGTTTCAGCTATTGCCTTCAGTCTGGCAGTCATGTCCTCCCTCATACGAGTTATATCTAAACACGTTGGATCGGATAGTTACAACCAGTACATGGTGAACATCCTGTGTTCCACAGTTTCTATCATTCGTCGAGCAGTGACTTAATACGGCCTAATTCGTCTGACATCTGTCTCACCAATTGTTTCTGCTTATGTACCTCGTCTGTTAGCCTGTCTATATGTTCTCGCTGCTTCTCTACTATCTGACCCCAGTTCCGGTCCATCTCAGTCGTCTT